TCTCTCTGTAAGGACATAATTCTCGGCTGATTCTGGTTGCCAGGTCCCATGCTTGTGTCTTACATATTATGCTTTTTTGAGACAACTTTTATATAATATCAGCAACATTTTATGCGTATAAGGCTTTTGCTAAGACTCCTTAGGGTGTAATACAAAAAAAAAAAAAATTCATGAAAACAAGTAAGTGAAAGTAAAAATGCATTTCATCACTCTCTTTTAGATTCCACTGTTGACCAGGATTCACTGGTAACAGGCCAAAATTATCTATAGCAAATTTTTTGAAGCTGTGTCTATCAATACTAGAATATTTTGAGTAGAATTGCTCTCTGCAGATAACACATTTATCTGCTGTAACTAGTTGTTTTGATATAGGCAGTTTGTCATTAACTTAATTCAGAGCTGATTTTTAGATGTCATTCTGATGTTTAAGTTGTAAGAAAATTCTTAACGCTGTTAATTGTTTCTGGAAGCTTGGCGTGATCTTTGGAGAAGATTCTGTTCAGCATCTTTCCTTCATGATTTTGGATAAATCCAGTATTAGTTTCTATAGTCCTGTTCCCAGCATTCTGGAAATAGCTCATAGGAGGTTAGCTAAATTTGATTTCAGAAAATATGCAGTGTGCTTCTTTCACTCTATACTTGTTACGTAGGGAGCTAAACCAGCAGATTTTTTTTTCCTTTTCCAGGTGTGTTTTTTTTTGTTTTTTTTTTTTGTGACTTCATTTTTTGCTGTATTAGTTCTCTGAACAGCTCTCTAAGATCAAACACTGTTTTTTTTGGCAAAAGAATGTGTGAGGAAGCAGAAGAGTGCGAGGGGTAGGAGGGGAACTAGGGAACAGGAGTGCACTGAATGTTTATCCTCAGCCAAGCAGTCACTGTGAATTTTGGTTAAGCAGTCATGCTTACTGTACCCCAAGCTAGTAACATCTGCCATGTTCTGCTTGCTTTGCTACAATGACTTAGGAACCCCAGAGTCAGAAAAACTGAGGACATTTCAGAAGCCTGTTTTCAGTTATGCATCTGGTATATTATCTTTATTTTCTTTAAACCTGCTAGTCACACTGTTAAAAATCAGTGATTTTCAATAGGTTACAGAGAACATTTATCTTACTTCCATCAAATCTGACTATGTCTTCTAGTAGAAATCGATAAGGTCTGTTGTTTCCAAATAAATATGTTAGGTGTTTGACATATCTACAAAGGTGCCTGAATTTAAAGAGACCCTGGACCCTCCAGAATTCTTAGTTTAAGATCCTGTTTCTGTTACTTAGTTGTGGTGTGCAGCTGGAGTCAATCTCATGGGATGGAGACCTTTGGAGCAGGAGCCTGGGAATGGGCAGAAATTGGATCCTGGACGTGATCCCCTCACCTGTGATAGGGAAGTGGAAGGCGAGAACAACAAAAGTAACCATACATCTCCTGAAAAGAAAAAGGTCAGAAAAGAAAATGGATTTTTTTTCCTTCCAGTGTTTTTCCTCATTCCATCCCTGACATGCCCCTTCTCTCAAAACCTTTGTACTATGCTAGATAATGCTCCAACTTGTACTTCTGAGGCATCGTCTTGTGGGGCAGGATTGTGGTGTTCTGGCTGTTCAGTAACTTTCTGTGTGATTTGGGATAAATAATCCAGGATAAAATTTTCCAATTTCTGCTTTTGAAATGTTCGGAATTTTGAAAAAAAATCCTAATAATAAAGGTAATTAAGTGCTTGATGAGGTTGCTAGAAAGATCAGACAAAGCTTTTTAAAAAAGAACACAGACATAGAAGAATCCATGAGTCCATTTGGTTCAGGAGTTGAAGCTCTTGAGATTTATTCCAGCTCTGTTTTTTAATGGTCTTAAGTGTGTTTTTTTAAAGGACCAAGCTGTAATTTGCAGATAATAATACAACATTTTATCCTTTCTGGCTTGTGGAGTTTTTTTCCACAGCTGTCTTACACAACTGTCTTGCACTGCTGCCCTATAGTCTTCCAAGATCAGGTTGCATAAGCTGGTAGGTTGAGTGCATCCCAGCTCCATGGTATTCTGTCTAAAGTGAATGTTCAGTGATACATTAGTCACACATCTCAGAAGAGAAATTAATGGCCAAACTCCTCTTGCCCTAAGGAGCCAGATAGGCTCTTTGGCCAGTGTTCCAGATACTAGTGTGGCAACGTGAATGAAATTTGCATAGCTCATATTGTTTATTTGCATCAGCTAGGAAGAGACTTGGCTTTCTTTGAAGCCAGCATTGTGGTATTTGCATGTGTAAATGTTGCCAGGCAGCTAATACGCTCACGCTGATCTGAGAGGAACACTGATTCTGCTCGTGTGTCTGCTCTCCTGCAGGCAAAGGAGCTCCATGAAATGGATGCCACATCCAGTCGTGTCTGGATCCTCACTAGTACGCTATCAACGAGTAAAGTTGTAATTATTGATGCCAATCAGCCTGGCACAGTGGTGGACCAGTTCACTGTCTGCAATGCTCATGTGCTCTGCATCTCCAGCATCCCTGGTAAGTGGGCCCAGGCATTGGCTGTGATGTGCACAGGGTCACCTGTTCCACTGAGGAGTGACAAATGTAGCGTCCTCACTTCAGAACTGACCCTTGGACCCTGCTGCGTTCTGTAATTGTCCCTCAAAACCATAACTCAGATCTTGCCTTCTTGTAGGACCTTTCTGTGGCAATCCCGCACTGTTGAATGTTTAGTAAGTCATTCCTTTGGCCTGTAAAGGATGGTTCTTGGGAGCAAGAGTGAGCCTTGCCCAGATCTAGGAGGGCTTTGTAGCTCGTCTGGATGTTGATGCTAGGGATAAGGGGATTCACCATGATGTTGACAGGTGCTGTGGTGCCTCCTCAGGATATTGAACCCTGAGGGTCAGCATCTTTCATCCGTATGGTTACTTCAGGCGTACTGCTACATTTAAATTAGGAGTGACAGCTAGATTTATGGGAGAATCTGTTCTTTGCCCTTCAGCAGCCAGTGAGAGTGATTATCCTCCAGGCGAGATCTTTCTGGAGGGAGATGTAAATCCTGAAGAGTCATCTGGAACAGATGGTGTCTTGGCAGGAATCACTCTGGTGGGCTGTGCAACCCGCTGCAATGTGCCACGAAGCAACTGTTCCTCGCGTGGTGACACACCTGTGCTGGACAAAGGACAGAGTGAGTTTTGGAACATAAAACTAAATGGCAGCCCAATTATAGCTAGTCCCATATGAGCTTATGGTCCTACAGCTGCATCCTCCTATCCCTGAGTTAACTACTTTAGAGGCCTCAAGAAGTTTCTTAATGTGGTACAGGAAAACCAAAGGCCTTTTTGGGCTCTTTGGAGCCCTCTTTTTCTCTCGGAGTGATCCACATCCTGCAGCCTGGTTGTGGGGTTATATAGCAGTTATATAGAGTATTTTGGACAGGTGATATGTTTGACCTGCTACAATTGCATCTGT